CCACAGGAAACTAATAGAGTCTCCCAGAACCGCCCACCACACCTCCAGCCATGACTCATCTCCCAGCTTGCCCAAGAGTTCCTTCACTCATGCATCCATTCATTCAGTGCACATTCCCTAAGCTCCTGCTCGCGAGGATGATGCGACCTGGTGCCTGGGCTCAGTGAGCTCAGGGGCAGTGAGGGAGACACTAAATCATTGGGACACACGTGTTAAGCTTGGTGATTGCTGGAAACAAAGCAGGTCAAGAGAGCACTGAGGACAGACTCAGCTCAGCCAGGGCTGGGGGCTGTGTGCAGGGTGCAGGGCAGTAAAACTTCCCCAGGAAGACTGCTCACACAGAGAAAACAGTGTGTGCCAGGCACAGTGGGGAGACAGCATGAAGGATTTGGGAAGAACACTGTTAGGTGCAGTGGGAGAGTCAGGAGATGAACGCTGGGCATCTCAAGCACTAAGCTGATAGGTTGTGGGCACCTACTGCCCCCAGCGTCCCTGCATGCCCCTCCTTTCAGGAGGGTGACCCAAGCTGGGCCAAGAGAGTCCTTGCCTGGGACTTCATATATAATCACCATAAGAGGAACTCTCTCCTGTCTGGCTTAGCTGGAGCTGGGAGTGACCTGTGACTCTGCCTCTCCTCCTGCTTGGACAAGGCTCTCTGTCAGAGGGAGAAGATGGGGCCAAGGCACAGAGGAAGGCAGTGGAGAGAAACAGAGAAAAAGAGGTTGCCTGACCATGTCTGAGGTCAGGTCCACTCCCATCCTTCCCAGTCTTACGTCAGCTTTTGTCTTATGTAAACGAGTTGGGTTTCAGACCCTTAAAACAGAAAACAGAAAACCTCCAGATGGTTTTTAAATGTGTATGTAGTGGGTTGAATGCGGTGGCCTCCAAAGGAAATTTCCACCCAGAACCTCAGAATGTGAACTTATTTGGAATTAGGGTATTTGCAGATAGAATTAAGGTAAGAGTCTCAAAGTGAGTTCATGCTGGATTAGGGTAGGTCCTAAGTCCAATGACAAGTCCTCAGAAGAGAGAGAAAAGGAGAAGCCACGTTGAGAGACACAGACAGCGGAGGCCATATGGTTATGGAGGCAGAGATTGGAATGCTGCAGCCTCAAGCCACAGAACACCTAGAGCCACCAAAAGCTGGAAGAGGCAGTAAGGATCCTCCCCTAAAGCCTTCAGGATTGGGGGAATGCAGCCTTGCTGACAGCTTGAGTTCAGGGGAAAGCGAGCATGGTGGAAGAACGGGCTTTTGGCTCATTGACCCACCACTTCTGATGACTCCCAGGGCCCTCTCCTGTGTACCACCTTAGATCCTCTTGGCCTCATCTATGTATGATCACAGCCCCAGCTGTGGTGGCCAGGTGATCACAGGCTCTGCCCAGCTTCCTGCAACAGTGACCTGACAGCATCTCACCCAATGTTTATCAATACTGGGCTTAGGATGCCGCAGGAAGCCTCCTTGGGCTGGGCACATGCACTCTTCAGAACTGTGAGGAATAAACATCAAATAGGATAAACCTTAACCAACAGGGACTTCAAGTCAGTGGAAAATTGCTGCACTCTCTCTACCTTTAATGATTGCTCTGAGATGATTCTCATGGAATCATTGGAGGAGATCAGGAAGTCACAGAAGGTGGAGCCAAGACACTCCTCCACCCAAGCCTCACTTGTTGTCCCATACCTGATCCTGGGACCACACTGTCAAACAGTCCTCAAACAAAAGCTTCTGTCTCAGGCTCTGCTTTTGGGGAATCCAGGCTCGGGCAGGATTCACACATGATTCTAAAGCAGGAACTATTCCATCTGGCTGCATGTGATTGTTCTTCACAGCTAAAGCCAGTGAACAACCATGTATTAAATAAGAACCAGATGAGGCTGTTTTAACAAGCAACCTTGAGTACAGTGACTTCAAAAGGAAAGAGTTTATTTTTCACTTGTGTAGAGTCTCCGTAGATGGCCCAGGGCTGGTGAGGAGCTGGGAAGCAGGGCACTCTAGCTCGTTCTCAGCCGTCACCATGACTGGTGTCAAACAATGCTCTTGTCACATTCCTGCCTGCAGGAAGAGAGAAGAGGAAGAGTGCTCCTTTTATGGGCTCTGCTCACACCCCATTGACCAAAATTTGTACACAAAATTTTGTTATCAAAATTTGGTCACACCCCTTGCTGCAAGGGGTGTTAAGAAAAGTGGTTTCAGCTAGATGGCCACGAACCCAACCCAAACTGGTGGATCCCATCATCAAAGGGAAATTGGATTGATGGATACTGGGAGACAAGAGCACCCTCTGCTGCCAGTCAAACTGCTTTCAAGAATCTACAACTACAGACACCCTACCATGCAAAACAAACCAATTTGGAGGAAACATAGTGAACATGAGTGGTATTGATTCAGGGCCTCCAAGGAGCAGAGTCCTTTATATTCAGATCAACTAGTAACCTCAGAGCTGTCCTACGAGGCCTGTGCTCTATCATTCCCATTTTACAGATGAGGAAACCGAGGCTCAGAATAAGTAATGTTCTCAAAGTGAAGAAGTGCCATAGTTGGAATTTGATATAACATAGTCTCCTTGGGCAAATATTCTTGACTCGCTTATCACACTGCCTCCCTTTGAGAGCCACTAACTTCCTGCTTCCAACTCTTCCAACTCATAATGACCCTCTCTGGGTCATTATGGTCGACAGCCTCTGGGGAGGCCCCATAAGCTGATGTTTATTGATATGGTTTGGTCCTGTGTCGCCATCCAAATCGGATGTTGAATTGTAATCCCCAGGTGTTGGGGAGAGGGGCCTGGTGGGAGGTAATTGGATCATGGGGGTGGATTTCCCCCTTCCTGTTCTCTTATGAGTGGGTTCTCATAAGATCTGATGGTTTAAAAGTCTGTGGCATCTCCCCCGTCTCTCACTCTCTCTCTTGCCACCATGTGAAGAAAGTCCTTGTTTCACCTTCACCTTCCGCCATGATTCCTTCACCTTCTGCCAAGTTTCCTGAGACGTCCCCAGCCGTGTGGAACTGTGAGTCAATTAAGCCTCTTTTGTTTATAAATTACCCAGTCACAGGTAGTATCTTTATAGCAGTGTGGAAGCAACTAATACATTTATACTCTTGTGTTATTCCCTGCCCTTGAGTGTCAGTGGGGCCTGTGATTTGTGACGAGATGCACATTATTATGATACAAAAGATTGTAACCTCTCTTGCTGGGTGTGAAGAAGCAAGCTGCCATGTTGTAAGATGTCCTATGGAGAGGGCCACATGGCAGTGAACTGAGGGCAGCTCCAGCCTCCGTCCAAAAAAGATAGTGAGGCCCTCAGTCCAGCAGCCTACAAGGAACTGCCAAAACCTATGAGCACAGCCTCCAGTCAAACCTCAGAAGAGATCACAGCCCCAGCCAATGTCTTGATTGCAGCTTTGTGAAGGCATAGAGCAGAGGACCCAGCCATTCTGTGCCCAGAGTCCTGACCCACAGAATTATGAGATAATAAATGTGAAGTGGTTTAAGCTGCTAAGTGTATAGTAACATTGTTACACAGTCATACATAACTAATACAGTCTTAGTTTCTCTCTCTGAAAATGGGCAAAATACACCACCTTTCAGATGTACACTCAGCCAGTGGGAAGGAAACCATTCTCCTATACTCAGCTGTAGTAGTTTTCTATAAATGTTGTCACAGAGTACCACAAGCTTAGTGGCGTAAAACAACACATATTTACTTGCTTGCGGTCCTAGAGTTCAGAATTCTGAAATCAGTCTCACTGGGCTAAAGCTGAGCATTGGCAGGGCTGGTTACTCCTGGGGAGACTCTAAGACAGAATTATTTTCTTATCATTTGCAGCTTCTAAATTCCATTTTTTATTCCCTGGCTCTTGGCCCCTTCCTTCATCTTCAAAACCAGCAGTGTAGCTTTTTCAAAACCCTCCTTCCATCATCACATCACTTTTGTAACTCTGAGTCTTCTGTGTCCCTTTATAAAAACACTTAAGATTACATTAGGTCAACCCAGATAATCCAGGATAGTTCGTAAACGTGTGCTCTTTTAAGCTGCTAAATCTGCGGTAACATTGTTACACAGCAACAGAAAATACTGTGTGTACTAGTCAAAGTTCTCCAGATAAACAGAACCAATATGATATATAGAGAGATAGAAAGGGAGGTTTATTATGGGAACTGGCTCCAGGACTTATACTACTGGGACCATCCCCATCCAGGGAAGTTGATGGTGTAACTTCCAGCAAGTCCTGGAATCCAAAGGCCCGAGAACCAAGAGCTTCAATGTCCAACGGCAGAAGACGGATGTTCCAGCTCAAGAAGAGAGAGCAAATTCATTCTTCCTCCACTTTTTTGTTCTACCTGACCCTCAACAGATTGTTTGGTGCCCACACACATTGGTGAAGGCAGAGTTTCTTTACTCAGTCTGTGGATTCAGTGCTCATCCCTTCCAGAAAGACCCTCACAGACATACTCAGAAATGTTTTACCAGTTACCTGAGTATCACTTGACCCTGTCAGTTGACACATAAAATTAACCATCATGCTATCTCAAAACCTTAATTTGATCACAGGTGCAAATTCCCTTTGCCTATAAGGTAACACACCCACCAGTTCTGAGGATTAGGACATGACAAACATGTATGGAGGCCATTATTCAACCTACCACATTATCACACCTTAGGAACACAACCAATGCTAGTTACTAAGACACTCATATTCATTAGTTTGTTTTTTCATCTATTCTAGACCACCTCGTGTATGCCTGGCATGGCTCTGGTCATTGCAAATAAATGTATGATGTCTGCTCTCTAGGGGTTGAGAAAAGAAACATCTGAACAGTCGTAAAGGGAAAATTGAAAGTTTATATTTCTTCAATGCCTACCATATGTGATTACTTTTCTGTTGATCCTGTAACATATTGTGAAGAACTTGTGGCTTAAAACAACACAATAGCTGGAGCCGCTGCCACCAAGTCCAAATCTCGTTGCTGCATGCCCCGGATGGCCACCCAATGTGCATTCCCGATTCCTTTTGGTTCTAAGTCCAATATGGCAATTCTCAAGGATCAGCTGATTCATAATCTTCTAAAGGAAGAACAGACCCCCCAGAATGTGATTACCGTTGTTGAGGTTGGTGCTGTTCACATGGCCTGTGCCATCAGTATCTTAACGAAGGACTTGGCAGATGAACTTGCTCTTGTTGATGTCACGGAGAACAAATTAAAGGGAAAGATGATGAATCTCCAATATGGCAGACTTTTCCTAAGAAAACCAAAGATGGTCTCTGGCAAAGACTATAATGTAACTGCAAATTCCAAGCTGGTCATGATCGCAGCTGGGGCACATCAGCAAGAAGGAGAAAGCTCTCTCAATTTGGTCCAGTGTAATGTAAACATCTTTACATTCATTATTTCTAATATTGTGAAATACAGCCCAACTGCAAGTTCCTTATTGTTTAAAATCCAGTGGATATCTTGACTTGTGTGGCTTGGAAGATAAGTGGCTTTCCCAAAAGCCGTGTTATTGGAAGTGGCTGCAATCTGAATTCAGCCCAATTCCGTTCCCTGATGGAGGAAAGGCTGGGAGTCCACCCATCAAGCTGTCATGGGTGGGTCCTTGGGGAGCATGGATAGTCCAGTGTGTCTGTATGAAGTGGGGTGAATGTTGCTGGTATCTCCCTGAGGATTCTGCACCCAGAGTTAGGGACTGATACAGATAAAGAACAGTGGAAAGAGGTTCACAAGCAGGTGGTCAAGATTGCTTATGAGGTGATCAAACTGAAAGGCTACACATCCTGGGCCTTTGGTCTCTTTGTGGCAGATTTGGCAGAGAGTATAATGAAGAATCTTAGGCAGGTACACCCGATTTCCATCACGATTAAGGGTGTCTATGGAATAAAGGATGATGTCTTCCTCAGTGTTCCTTGCATCTTGGGACAGAATGGAATCTCACACCTTGTGAAGGTGATTCTGACTCCTGAGGAAGAGGCCTGTTTGAAGAAGAGTGCAGATACACTTTGGGGGATCCAAAAAGAGCTGCAATTTTAAAGTTTTCTGATGTCACACCGCTTCACTGTCTAGGCTACAACAGGATTTTAGTTGGAGGTTGTGCATGTCGTCCTTTTTATCTAATCTGTGATTAAAGCAGTAATATTAAGATGGACTGGGAAAAGCATCAATTCCTAAAGTTAGAAAGAGGCATAGTTTGTAAAATCCTACAGCTATATCCTGATGCTGGATGGTACTAATCTTGTATAGTCCTATAAGTCTACCACCTTTGAGGCACCACTGCCAATGCTGCACATGCTGCAGTTACCCCTTGAGCCAGATGGATGTTTACTGTATGTTATATACTTTCCTGGCTCCTTCACCAAACATGCCTCGTCCAACATTTTTTTCCAAATCAGTCACATCCTGGAATGCAGGGTATAAATCCAATATTGCATGTCTTGTGCATAATTGTTCCAAAGGATCTTAATCTGTGTGCTATATATATCAGTAGTACACATTGCCATATACTGCAAAAGAAACATCTACATATAAACAATGCAACCAACTATCCAAGTGTCATACCGACTAAAACCCCAATAAACTTTGAACAGTGAAAAAAAAAATAAAAATAAAACAACACAATGGATATTCTTATAGTTTTGTAGGTCAAATGTACAGCACGGGTCTAAATCAAGGTTCCAGGAGGGCCATGTTCCTTTTTGGAGGCTCCAGAGGTCAATCTGTTCCCTTGCCTTTTCCAGCTTCCAGAGGTCGCCTCCATTTTTTGTTTATGACCTCTTCCATCTCAAAACCACCAATTGTGGGCCACAATCTTCTCAGGCTGCCATTGGTCTGGTTCTCTCTTTTCTGCCTTCCCCATCCACCTATAAGGACCCTCTCGATTACATCAGGCCACTGAGATCATCCAAGATGAGCTCTGCATCTCAGGGATGGCTGATGTGCAAGCTCAATTTCACCTGCTGCCCTAATTTCCCTTTGCCATGAATCTAATGTAGTCACAGGTCCAGGGGATCAGGAAGTGGACATCTTTGGGAGCCATTATTTTGCCTACCATAGCATGTCACACCCAGTGATAGCATTTTTAAAGTATTATCTCATTTAGTCCTCAGAACAACCAAGTAAAGTAGTACTGTCATCATCCCTATTTTGCAGATGGGGAAATGGGGTACAGGGGGCTTATGTAATTTTCCCAAAGTCACATGGCTGATAGTGATTATATTTGAAACCAGAGAGTTTTGGTCTAAAACCCAGTCTTATAAACACTGCACCACGTTGCCTCATATGCAACACCTACTACATGCCAGTCCTGTGCTGTTTTATAAACTATAATAAGCTAGCAGTTTCCTTAATGTAAACAAACCCTTAACTTTCAAGTTTGCAACACAGGATCTCCATCAAGGAAGGGGTTTTTGACCTCCCAGTCCTAATCCTCTTTACTTCATGGACGATGGTGGTTTCTGCTACCATGACCCACCTCTCTGGCCTAGGGGAGATTGGTTGTCCCCCTTAGCCTCACAGAGCCAGATTAAGAACCAACAAGGCCAGGCATGATGGCTGTCATCCCAGCACTTTGGAAGGCTGAAGTGAGAGCATCACTTGAGCCCAGGAGTTCAAGACCAGCCTGGGAAACAGTGAGGCCTCATCCCTACAAAGATGAAAAAAAACATTAGCCAGGCATGGTGGCGCGAATCTGTGGTCTCAGCTAAGCTACGGTTGCCCCACTGCACTCCAGCCTCAGTATCAGAGCAAGACCCTGTCTATAAAAGGAAAGACAGAAAACAGAACCAACAGCTGAGCATGTCTCTGAAGCTATCTATGAGAGGGGCCAGATCATTCCAGGGAGAGTAAGATGGAGGGAATTATATTTAGCAACATTCTCTCAAGGGCAATATGACAGGAAAGAATTCTTTGAGGGGCCCCCTGGATTGAAAAATGAGACCCCCAAAGGCAGGCTTGATGATCAATAGATGGTTGATCTAATCTTAGTGGAGGGGGCTCAGTTAATTATAGTTTTATTTTACTCTGTACAGCCTGCAAATTTGGGCCAGAGCAGAATTGTTCTGACAGCAAAAGAGATGTAGAATCAGGGTTCCTACTTCCCCACACCTGCCACTCCTGCCCCCAGATGAGAATGAAGACATTTAGGGAACATGAGTTTGGAGGACAAACTCTTAGCCTGCTCAGGGTCCCCACACATTTTCACTCCCTTTACAGAGATTCTTCCCTTATAATCCCATAGTACAGTTGAGACATGACTAAAAGTTTCTATTTTATCAAGATTTTTTCCCCTAAAGTCCAAAATAAATGTGGAGAGGAACATAAAACAGCATCATTTCAGCAGGCTATGTCATCCTGGCTTCTGACCAGATCTGCTCACCATCTTAGCAACCACTGCCCCAAAGACCACCCTGCCACACACACCTACCCTTGAGGATTGCTAACCTGAAGTGATTCAGGCAAGTCCCCCCGCACCAGCCCAGGGCCCACCTTCCAAGATTCAGCTTCCCAGCTGAGGACCCAGCTCTTCATTTGATTAACACTGGAATGGCCTTTTAGAGATAATTAGGCAGTGGGGCTCAGAAACCCCTACAGGAAAACACCATCTCCACCAAGCCCCTCATTCATAAAACACACACACATACACACACACACACACACACACACACACACCAGGGAGAAGAAGACTACAGAACACACACAGAATCCACAGTCACTCCTCCCAATAACTCATCAAAATGAGTACCATTACCTCTTTTTACAGAGCAGTAAACTGAGGCTTGGGAAACGTAATTTCTCCAACCCACGCAGTAACTAACAAAGCCACAGTTTGATTAAGCTTTCTCAGACTACAGAAACCATGTTGCCTCCCCATGATAAAGGGGAAAAAAAAAAAAATAAGTGCACTCAACTGTTCTGGCCTCCGTAGCCCACACCCCTCTCATTTCACTACTTAATATTCAAATGCAGAGAATTTCCGCACTGGAGAATCAAAAGCCCAGAGATTTTCCCTAGAAGGCCTCAGAGCTTGATTTTTCACAAATGGCCCCAAGGATGGAAAAAGTCTTCCAAATTGAGACTGGCAAGAGAGCGGGACCCATTTTGTCTGATTTTTCTTCTCTCCTTTCTTGGCACTAGTAGGCTCAGCTCACGCCAATGGAAAATTCCCAAGTGCCAAGCAGTTCTCAAATAATCTGCACACAAAACAAAACAAAACCAAAAAAAAGAAAAGCCTTTCAACAGAGATAGCTCATGAGGGGTTAAGCCGAGGCTCCAGCCAAAACATAGATTTTTTTCAGATTCTTGACATCTTTTTCATGTTGATCAGGAGGTTTGTGCCCAGCCACAGCCTATGATGGCCTCAGTCTGTCACTGAGACCAGTACTGGGTCAGACCAGAGCCTGCCTTTGGACTCAAGAGGGTCCCAGGTCCAGATAGTTTGACCTCTACCAGGCCTGGGCCTGGAAATTCCGTGTGGGAAAGGACAGGGGCTGCCTGGGAGGGTTGAGGAAGAAGGGTCTGTGCTGGCTTGGACTCAAGGATAGATGGACAGAGGTGGAATCCGGAGAGGGTGAGAAAGAAGGAGACAGATACTGACTGTCGAGGAGTCCCTATATATAACCTAGAAGACAAAATCTGGTATAGAATGCTCTATTCATAAGACAAAAGATGTATTAATCCTGTCTCGTGCAATCATATTAACAACAACATTTGTATATATTCATTTAGACAGTATTTATTAAGCACCTAAGCATCAGGCAAGAATTTGACAATGAGCAGAGCAGCCTAGGTGCCTACTGGCAGAGAGCTTTCATACTTACCATGGAGACATGCCGTAAAAATGACAGTGACGTAGTGAACTTCAGTGCTATTTAAGGGACCATGGGAGCACATAAGACAGGGAAATCTGATGTTTATTTGGAGCTGACGTTTTTGCAAAACATGCTCCCCCACTGCAGTTCTTAATCTTCTTAAAAAAAAAAACAACCTCACAAGGTAGGCATTACTGTGTTATCATCGGAGTCATCCCATGTTGGAGATGAGGAAACTGAGGCTCAGAGAAGTGGAGGAGCACACAGGGCAGCCTAGAAACTAGGTGTGCCTACCCCCAGGTCTGAGACACCCTCCTTCGGGATAGCGCTGGGCTCCTCCGCTCACCCGCTGAGGGCAGGTGGGCAGGGTCTGCCGCAGCTGAGGCTGGCTAACTCCTTGTTGTGAGGAAGCTGCCTGACTGCCACCCACTCACTCAGGGGCCTTCTCGGCAAATTCAGTAGGCCTGAAAAAGAGACATGGGAGACTGAGTCAGACCCTCCAAGGTAACCTCTGATGACCCCTGTTCCCCTTGCCTTCCCCAGGCTTAGCATTATAACAACCCTGCTTCCCAGGTCAAGAGATCCCTGAGTAGTTTATAAACACAGCCGAGTTCTGTAACACCTTATGCCAAAGACCTGTAACTCAACACAGGCTCTGCCTGTGCCCACAAGCATGGGAAGATGGCTTTTCATCTTCCCTCCACTACTTCAACCCTAGCCCCTGGGGTTAGTGATGGGCAGAATCTCTGGGGAAGAAGGACCACCTGCGATAGCACATCTTGGGGAAGGCTGCAATGACCTGTTTACATTCCCTCTACCCCAACAAGCTGTAAATTGGAGAGAGCTGAGTTCTAACCTGGCTTCACCATTTGTCTTAGCTCCAACTGCTATAACAAAGTACCACACCGGGTGGCTTATCAACAATAGACTCCTATTTCTCACAATTCTGGAGGCTGCCAGTCCAAGATCAAGGCTCCAGCATGGCCAAGGTCTGGTGAGGGCCCCCTTCTGGGTTGCAGAATCCTGACTTCTCCTTGGATCCTCACATGGTGGAAAGAGGGCACACTGGCTCTCTGGTCCCTTCTCATAAGACATGAATTCCATCATGAGGGCTCAGCCTTCATCACCTCATCACCTCCCAAAGGCCTCACCTCCAAATGCTGTCACATTGGGGGTTAGATTTCAGTACATGAATTTGAGCGTGTTTGTGGGCTACGTAGGCATCTC